CCCCAGCTGGATGTTACCCCTAGAGAGTGCCTGCAAGTAAGAAATTAAAGATCTGTGATGCATTTCAACCAAGTATTTGAAAACTTGGAGGCATGAAACTATGGTAAAAGAAAACTCTGCTAACCTTTGGAAAAAACAGATCCCTGCAACAATTCTCTGGAGTAAATATGGCACAATGTCAACAGAGGTTTTGCATTCAAAAATTATTTTTACCCCTCTGCAAATTGTGGCTTTCTATGTGGACAAAGGCAGGGAATTAAGGGTGCAGCAGGGTGGTACGGTCCTCTCCAGCACTGCTAGGGGGTTGTTTAAAATATAGTGCTACCAGACCAAATCGTTTTTATTTTGGATTTTAAACCACATTTCCTGACGCAGTTCATTGTCACTTCCTATAACTTCACTGATGTCAAAGGTCACGTGACATCATTTTCTGATGCAATACCTCTTCCTGTGAGATCTTTGAATATGGCTCTGGCCCACTGGGTAATAAAAAGTTTGTGATCTGGTCCCACATTAAAAAGGTTGGACACCCCTGCAATAGGTGATCCAGCAATGAAGCCCCAGCTCAATAAGCTTTTATTCTTTTCCTATCCTACTCTGAATACTGTAGCCCTGTCCCCTCCCCACAGAAAAACGCCTTGTGTGGTGTTATACTGAAGACAACCCGCAACCGCCTGGAGTACAACGCCCCCATGGGAGAGGGGGTTAGCCCCACCCTCTGCAACGTCACAGCGGGAGGTTCTGATTGGCCCAACCCTTCTCTCCTCCCCCACGCCACCGCGCGCCCTGGCGCATGCGCCGCGATGGCCTGAGCCACGTGTGCGGTGCCTTCGGGAGCTGCTTTTGGCTCGTTCGTGGAGGGCTCTGCAGCCCAAAGCGGTTGAATCAAGTCATAGCACTAATATGGGGAGGACTCGGGAAGGAACGGGTAGGCAGTCCCTTTAAAAGTAGCCTTGAAAGGGTAGCGGCTGCGTCACTAAGCCAAGCGCCTTTGACTCCCACAAGTTTCTTCAGCCCGATTGAAGGCCGGAGGGTGGGAGGGGAAGAAAGGGGCTCGCGCATGCGCTCTCCGCCCCCGGCGCGGGCAGAATTGCGTCCCGCCTTTTCATTGGTCCCTTCCGTTCCCCCCCCTCCTTCTAGCCCGCCCTTCCCAGCCGGCTGGTAAGTCGGGGCTCATAGTGCCCTGTGATTGGCCGAGCCGGTGCCTGCGCCCTGCGCCGCTGGGTTCCGGGCAGGGAGTCGCCGCCGGCCGCGAGCTGCACTCGTTTGTTCTTCCCCCCGCTCCGCCTGCATCATGGCGGCTGCCGCCGAAGAGCCGTTCCCTTTCCACGGGCTGCTGCCCAAGAAGGAGACCGGCGCCGCCTCCTTCCTCTGCCGCTACCCGGAGTACGACGGGCGTGGCGTGCTGCTGGCTGTGCTCGACACCGGCGTCGACCCGGGCGCCCCGGGCATGCAGGTGGGCAACGGCGGGGCCGGCTGGGCCTGGCGTGTGTGCGAGGGAAGCGTCTCGCGGCGGGGAAGGGCTGGCTTGGGTATCCGGGAGGAGCTCCCAGCAGGCGCCTTGCAGCTCTCCCCACCTCAACCCCTCGGGGTGGGGAGGCGGGGGGGTTAACCTCTGATTCATTCCCTTCTTGCCAGGGGCAAGCTGCCTCGGTGGCGCCTGCGCCTAGTGCAGACAGGTTGGGGGGGATTACCTGAGTGTTTAAGGCAGGCAGGCAAGCGAGGGTCTTCGGGTAGATGTGATGTCTTTTATTAGACTAAGATGTGACGAAGGGGCTGGGGGAGATGGCTGGATGGATGGGCACAATAGTCCTTCAAGCATCCCTTGCTCCATTTGGTTTTGTTTGTAGTTACCGTGGCCTGAGAGTTCCTGCTCTGAGTGGCTGTGAGCCTGGCCCTGAGCTCTAGGGCTTGGCGCCTTCTGAGCACTTCCCTTTGCAGCCTTCAGTTTCTAACTTGCTTTCTTGCGCACGTGTCTGTGTGTGCATGCCTGTCTGCCTATCTGTTCGTCTGTGATTTGTGCACGCACACATACAGTGTGTGGATGCAGTGCAGCTGGGTTTTTTCAAATAGAGATGGGTGTGGGGATGCAAGGCAAGTGGGTTTTGTGTGTGTGTGTGTGCGTCCGTACTTATGCATCTATGTATGTTTGCTCATACGTCTGTGCATGTGTGCGCACACATGCACACTACATCCAGTCGCCACTCAGCATCTCTAGCTGGATCCGGGCAGCAGGTGTGATGGACACTGAGAAGGAGTTTGGAGAAAGGTGGCGGTTTTACGGGAAGGTTAAAGGAGAGTATAGTTAACTGTGGCAAGAGTGCTCAGATGAGAGGTGGACAAGCTAATGTCAGTAGCATATCAAAAGGTGGGGGCTGCTATAGGAGAAGATGGGACTGTAGCTGAAGGGCAGCAATTATTTGGGTCTGCATGCCACATAGGCTGTTCTGGGGAGCTGCTGTGGGCCAGTCAGCACCCTCTCCCTGCCCTGACCCATGCAGCAGCCCAGAGTCCCTGTGGCTCTAGCCTGCCCTGCACCTGGTCTGGACTGCCTGCACATGCTGAACAGTGGCAGCGGCTGGGCAGAAGCTGCTGCTCGGCATCGGGGGGCAGGGGGAAGTGGTCATCTTTCCCTTTGCCGCTATAGGGCCCTTCTTGCTGCAGTGTCTGAAGCCTGTGTCCAGGTTGCGCAATGACTCCTCTCCCCCACCGTCACAGCTGCTTCCGGGCTGCCTAGCAGGGTAGCAGTGGCAGTGCAGAGGAGCACTGCCTGGGCTGTCTAGAAAGGCAGTCCAGCTGTGGAGCTATTGCAAGCCCAGGGGGTGGTGGGATGCACTATTGGCCAGACAGCACCTGGGCCAGGCAGGACCAAGAGACCTGCTGTGGGCCATATTTTGCCAACCCCTGCTGTAGATAGAGCAGTGCAGAGGTTTGGAGGGGCCTGAAAAAGTTTGAACCTCTTGAAATGGGGCAAAGCAGGCCAGTGGTGAAGGAGTAGATGGTCAGAATGCGTCTGTTTGGAATGAAGTGAAAGGGAATGTTGTCTTGTTACACAGGCTTTTGTTTTACCTAAAGTGCAAGAAAAGCCAAAGCAAGTTCCTCCAAACTACATGCTGATTTATTGGGATGTTATAGATCAGGCAACAAGAGCAGCTACATACAGCAGAGAATACAAACATACTTACTGCTGGGGGTGAGGTCTCAGGGTCCTCAGAATCAATCCTCAGGGTTTGAGGCAAGTTCTACATTCCCACCCCTCTGCCTTTGTATGGGGGAGTTTTATACAGTTCAGGTTCAGATTTCTATGTTCCTGCCCATTCCTCTGAGATAAAGATCTCTTGGCCAATTCAGTAGGGAGCAGGGAAACTGAGTCATGGCCTGTGACCATTGTTCTTTCCTAGGGTTGCCTTATTAGCATTGCACTGTGCAGTTCAACTCTCTTGAAACTCTCCCTTGCAATCTGCCTCTTGCATGCTAATTGTTGTTGTTCAGTCTGAACTGCTTCTGGGTTCAGCATACCTATGCAGAGGAGTGTAGGAACCCCGGAACTTCAAAAAGGGGTGAGAGATGTTCAGGACTCCCTGACAATCTGGGTTTCAGAAAAACCAGAAAGAAAGAGTTTGGTATAGTCAAAACAAAGTTTGTGAGGGTCTGTAGGAGTTAGAAGTTGATTCTCGGGTTACAAATGCTCACAGTGTGGAGATTTGGTTCTTTTAATGGCAGAGCAAAGAAGTAGGGAGTTTTGGAGGAAAGATTTGTTATGCCTTTTTATGAAGGCGATGGTGAATTCAGGGAGGAACTGTCCTGGAGCTATTGACAAGTTAGTCAGGAATGGAAATGTCTAAATGTGATAGATGAAATTGTGAGCAGATCTAATTAGAGAAAGAAAGGGTATAATAAGAAAAAAGGACTGGACAAAGGTTGCAATGCTTTGGGAACTTCATGGAGTATATGTGAGAAGAACAGACCAAAAAAAAAACTGAAAGAATGACCACCCAGAGAAAACGGAGGGGGGAGAAGGGTGGGATATTAAGAAGGATGGTGTAACAGTGTTAAAAACAGACTAGGGATTAGGATGGGTGGAGACTGTGATTTGACAGGAACCTACATTAAAGCAGGGGTGTGAAGGTCATCCAAACCTACAAGCTGCTTGAGTTGTTCTGGGCTGGTCCTTGGGCCAGGTCTGGATCTAGCACGTGCCCCGGACCAGCAGTCTACAGACTCTGTGCAGTGCATGGGGTCGATCTGATGACACATGATTCTAATTGAGGATCCACAGGCAATACCAGAGGCTGCGTCATAGGGTTCCATAAGCTGTACCTTTGATATCCCTCCTTTAAAGAAGTGATTCTCAACCAGGGTGCCACAAGAT